CGCCGGGCCGCAGTGCGTGAGTGGGTGCTCGGGGCCCAGCGCCGCCCCGGGCCGGGACCGCGGGGCAGGGAGGGCACGGGGGAAGCGCGGGGGGTCGCTGGGCGAGCGCGGCTACGGCCCGGCCCCTGTCAGCCCGGACGCCCCTCTCCGAGCTCAACCGCCGCCGCGTGTTGGTTACTGCCCCGCTAGAGCCGCTCTATTTTATATAAATACATAAAATATAAACCTAGCAGAGAAGAATTAATTTTAAAAGATGTTCATATAAATATATATTACAGAGAGGATTATTTTTCATAATTTTTTTTTCTTTTTTTTTTACCTCAGAAAATCAAACGGTCTCCGCTCTGGAGAACTGGCACTAAATTAGACTCTTAAAGCAAGCTAAGGGACGTGTTTTTTGGGGAGATCGAGGAGGGTTTTGATGGGAGAAACGCTCAGGAGTTTTGGCTTCGTATCTGAGAGCCCTGCTCTCCTGGAGTCTTAACTTTATTTTTTTGCCGATTTCCAGGCCTTTCCTCCCTCCTTGGCCCCTGCCTGCCCCCCTTATTTTATCCTTCCTCCAATCACCCACCCCCTGGCTGAGTGAGACTTTTAAATAAGACTTTGAGCTTTCCCCCCAGTTTAAATATTTACGAAAAGCTTGACCTAAAGAAACCCCCAGAATTAAACCCTCTGAGTTGGCGGCGGGAGCGTGTGCTGGGTGGAAGATGAACGCGGCCGCCAGCAGTTACCCCATGGCGTCCCTCTATGTGGGTGACCTGCACCCCGATGTCACTGAGGCCATGCTCTATGAGAAGTTCAGCCCCGCGGGGCCCGTCCTCTCCATTCGGGTCTGCAGGGATATGATCACCCGCCGGTCCCTGGGGTATGCCTACGTCAACTTCCAGCAGCCAGCAGACGGTAAGTGACATGTACAGCCACATCTATGGCTTTTTTTCTTGACTTTTCTTCACTTTTTTTCCACTAATCCATGCTGCCAGTGGTGTGTACTGCTATGTAGCTGCCTACAAAGTGCTACAAGGTAAGTAATCACTTCATAGTGATTGTTGTGAAGCTGGAATGTTTTTTTACAACTCGGTGTCTCCAAAACACTCTGC